CAGCGATATTCAATACAAAACATAAAAACATTCATTTATTTAATTAGGTTAACATCAGCATGCAATAAACTGTGTAAAACTGGTGGATTCAGTCAGGATGAAACCAAACAGCTGCGTAGTCTCAGCTTTGATTTCAGAACAAAGAGTCCACATGGGGCTCAGAGAGTCTGGGTTTCCAGTCTGAGGTGGATTTGTCTTTCAGGATTAAAAGTTAGGAGCAGATATGTGACAAACAGTCACTGCAGGCAGCAGAAAGCAGAATAACTCACCTGTCAAACACAAATCTGTTGTGGTTGCAGCACATATGAATCCACTGGAGCAATTAGTTTATTCATTTATTTTCTACTTCTAGCAAAAAGGTGAAACCAAGAGCAGACATGTTGTATGAGAGCTTTTTCTGTGCCGAGTTATTTGGGCTAAAGTCACGAGTGACATTTCATTTCATCAGCAGGACAGCCTTTTTATGCTTTTCTGGTAAAACGAGGTTTTAAAATGGAGGGGACTCCCTGATTCATGTTTCTGTCTCTTGCGTTGCAGTAAGTTTTGTTGCCAGTTGTAGTTATGATCGAAGCGTTTTGTTTTTTTAACTACAGGAAAACATTGACCTTTCCTTGGAAAAACGAAGGCCGTCTCACCGATATAAATATTCAGATCTCTTAAAAGCAGCGATAAAACACGTTTTAAATAAACTCCATGCGTTTCAGGCTCATTTGCATTTTTGAAGCGTTTAATTACCTGTAATCACATGCATCTAATTCCAACAGCTGTGCTCAATTTATGGAGGGAGATTTTACATAAATATAGGTTGCTTGTTTTATAAGTGATTAAATGTTGATCCAGATGTGAATTAAAAGATTTCTGCAACAAACTCTAACCACCAGGATGGTAGTAAGAAACATGGCGTCGCTGCCTCTTTGACATGTAACGCAGACAGCACTTTTTTTTACAGCCCTAATTCTAAAAGAGTTTGGATATTGTGTAAAATATACATAAAAACAGAATGCAGTCGTTTTCCTCTGGTCTTGTCCTTTAGGCATAGAGAGTTCTCCAGATTCTTTTGATAAGAGCAGATGATGGGATATTCAGTCTTCCCAATTTTTATTGAGGAACATTATTGTTCCACATTTTTAGGCAGTTTTTCATGGACTGGTGAACCTCTTCCCACCTTTACTTCTGATATTCATTCAACTTTTATACACAATAAATCACATTGAGACTCATTTACAAGTGACACCTGTTTAGACAGACAAAAAGTGTAATGAAAGTGACACATGTATAGGATTTGGAGGCAAAAAAAATTTCCTATCAAACTCTCACTCCTTGGCCGAGGAGAGAGAGCCTGAGATTGGAAAAAACACCCTGCACATAGGCACATAGTGACACAGACATTCTGCAGGGGAGAAGATAGATTCAGCTTTTGTAAATCTAGTCCTCCTGACCTGCTGCTAATTCCATCTATCCATCCATTATCTTTACCCGCTTTGGGTCACGGGGGTCGCTGGTGCCCATGTCCAGCAATCACTGTGCGAGGGGCGGGGTACACCCTGGACGGGTCGCAAGTCCATCACAGGGCCACATAGAGACAAATGAGACAAACAACCATTCACTCTCTCACTCACACCTAGGGACAATTTAGAGTTATCAATCAGCCTAACATGCATGTTTTTGGTCTGTGGGAGGAAACCGGAGTACCCGGAGAAAACCCACGCATGCACGGAGAGAACATGCAAACTCCACCCAGAAAGGCCCCTGGACCGGGATTTGAACCAAGGACCTGTTCGCTGAGAGGCAGCAGCTCTACCAGTTGCGCCACCGTGCTGCCCTGCTGCTAATTCATTAGTGCAAAACGTTCCTCCAGATGTCTACTCGCCACTTCATTTTAGCTTTTTGTTGCAACTCCCCTCTTTTAGAAACGTGTTGCTTCCATACAATTAAAATGACCTGTTCTGCTAAATTTGGTACAATTTATTAGCATAGGCATTTGACAAATGTACTGTTTCACTGTAAATAAAATATGGATTTTGGAGATTTATAAACCTTTTTCTTAGATTGTATACAATGTCCTTATCTTTACAGAACTGGTTTGGAAGATAAATAAGGGCCTGCTCGTCTACTTTCTGCCTGGATGCACCAAGAGCGTTCAGGCTCTTTGCCTCGGAGCATCATGCTCTGCAGCAGGCTGGCCCAGTGGAGCGAAAGAAGAAAAAGACAAGAGGATGGAGACGAGGAGTCTCCGTGTCCGGGACCTGCTGCAACGGACACAATAACAGCACAAGACATATTGCTTTTCACAGACAGAGCGTTTTTTTTTTTTTTAAGAGCGTGAATCCCTGTGTGGCTGCCTGAGGCGTACACAGCATTATGAGAAGGATTTGAGCTGACACAAGTCACAGTCGCTCCATCGCTGGTGTGAAGGAGGAAGGGATGAATTATTCAACCAGCGAGCTTTGATGTCTTCTTCTTGTTTTATAAGGAGGTGAAGCAAACAGCCACCAACAACAAGCACACATCCACAACCTGAGAGGAAATCTCAACGTTCCCCAGGATGAGAGTGGGGCGTCATTTCAGAGAGCAGCAGTGGAATAACAGCTCCCTCTCAAAATGACAGTCGTTGTCGAGGCGCACCATCACAGATTGCTGGTCCATCACTCCCCACATGGAAGACGAAATGACAGCCCTGCCCTGCTGATGGTGCAGCATCTCAGCCTCAGTGTTCTGTGCTGCTTAGCCCAGCTTTAATGTTTGGAAACTGAAATGGAGCAACATCCTGAATTCACTACCTGCTGCTGGGACGAGGCTGAAGCAGAGGAAAGTTTTCTCTATTCTATAATAAAAAATATATATACTGGAGAAGATATACACAGAAAATAGTTGGCACATCTCTCAAATTTACCAAACAGAAGGAATTAAGAGCATTTTATTGCTCGCTGCAGACGAGAAAGGGGGATTGTGTTATTGCCCGTGTTCATGAGTCTGTTAGCAACTTTCTCATGGAGCACTGGACAATCTCAAGGAAACAAAATGTACATCTGATTCAAGATGGCTGCCACTGACCTGAAAACACAAAAAATGTCTACCGTTCAATCTTACAGATATTGAGCTAAGAAATGGTGTTGCTGATCGCAAACACGCACTTTGAGCACAAATTGTGCCAGATGTTTGATTAAAATATCACCATGAGCCTTCAGTCACATCAGATTGCACATACCGGTCCAGGTTTCATTTCTTCAAGGGATGCTAGGCATTTACTTTTAAAGCACCTCAGCATTTGAGCAGAGTTTACAAGTTAATTTGACAATATAAAGATCAAATGACTGACATGCATCAAATAGCATCTGAAGAAAATCATTAAGTCATACTCTGTGGTGTAACTTATTTATTTTAATTCCACAAATTTTTCAAAAAAATTACAAAATACTCAAATGGAGAGAACACAGGACTCACAATTTTTCTTATTATTTCTACTTTTTGTTTACATTGTGTCATCCCATGGCGACTACTCATATGTACAATAAGCTTCAAGATACCAGTATATATATAAATCTTAGCAGTCAGAATTTACATTCTGCTATTGCCGCTTTGAAACAAGAAGCTAAACCATTGACAACACTTAACATCAAAGCTTCGGAGACACAAAAAAGGAATAAAAGACGAGGGAATCGTCGAGAAGTGATGAAAATGATGGAGGGAGGGAGAGAGCAGGAATCGGTGAGCGATGGCGAGACAGAGCGACAGGCTGTCGTCAGCGCTTCAAAGCGTTTTCAACGAGACGGGGTGGCTGAGTTTGATGTTTGCAGGCATTTACATGAAAATATAGTGCTCTGTGGGAAGCGGTGGTCACTTTTAAATGCAGTTACAGTTTCTTCAATTGGTAAAATAGACTTAAAATATCAGAAAAGTTGCTTTTTAAAGTGTTCATGACAGTCAAACAGTCTTAGTGCATGGAACGAATGCAGAACTCATGTCATGGTTGAAAAAAAAAAAAAAAAGATAAAAACTTGAAAACGTAGGATTGTGTGTTGGTGTATGACAACGCAACCTGTAACAGTCAGTGGCGCACACACAAACACACCACAGTGTGCCCTAAAAGAATCAAAGCATGTGCACACACAGAGGAAAACACACTCATCATCATCATCCCCATGTGTCATGTGTCAGCACACCCCCCTCCCCCCTCTTTGAGTCACAGTGAACATTATATCAACCTAGTTAAAGGACACTTTAGATGCTTCTGAGCCCTGCAGCTAAAACAGGACCAGATGAGGCAAACGACTTATAATCACTAAAAGGTTAAAAACAATAACTTAACTTGCTTCGAATTCAGGTTTAAAATTTATTGAAACAGCTGCACCGTAAAACATTTCACGTGTCCACATTGGTAAAATCACAATTAACATTGTGTTTGAAGACCATCAGAGCAACGAAGCACCGCTACTTCTGATGATTTAAATGAACTAAAAACGATTAAAGCGGCTGATTCGAGCTCAAAGACGCCCCTTCAGTGCAAAGTCTTCCTTGTTTTGAACAATGTGTGGCCCCAGTGTGCACCTTCAAGTGTTTTAAATCAGCAACTAAACACGTCGACACGTTCTGACAACCTGATGCATGTCGCAGATGAATGGTGTGTGTGTGTGTGTGTGGGGGGGGGGGGGGGTGACATGGTTTACATACAATAGTGTATGTGAAACTAAATCTAACACAGTGATGTCACAACTGAACTGCAACTCAGAAACTGCTCGTATAATGCCATGGCGCTCCCCTCTGAAACAAGGGATAATGCTTCAAAACAAACATGTTGGCTGAAACGACTTGATCTGGAGTCCACACCTAGGAATAATAATAATTATAATAATAATTATATGTTTATATATACTATTTACAGACTCAAAAACGCCATGCTGTAGCTTTTTTCATTTTTAAATTATGAAAAACCTCCAACAATGTAATAAAATAAATGTTGAATTTAAGATAGCACTTGTTATTTTTCCATAAATGGTCTGACAGGTCTTTTTTTTTTTTTTTTCTTTTTGAAGCACAGTGTCTTGTTCTAGCACCTACAGAAAAAAATGTCAGGGAAGCTTGTCATGCAGGAGTCTTGAGGATGTTGTCACTACGATACCAAAGAAAGTCGATGTCTTGAAAATAATAGTTTAAAAAAAAAAGGTCCTTGACAGGAACAAAAACAAAACGTGAAATTTTTAGAAAATCCACTTGGCCTTTTTTTTCTTCAAGACTGAATGTGTTGAAAGGTCCATAAGGAGCCTCTGCTAGACGGCTTTGTGACAACTTCCTGTCCTGCACTTGGCGGCTGCTCGCTCCCCCGATGGTTACAACTGTTTGTCACTTTCCTTCTTGAGTCTGCTAAAAAAAGAGAAAGCAGGTTTTAAAATCCAGATACTTGAGATGTTATGTTAGGTCTGCAACGTGTTGACAAACGGACCTGTAGAAGTCATCTCCAGACATCGGCGCTCCGTGCATGTGATGGTGTCCGTGGAGCCACTGCTGCTCCATTGCCAGCCGCTGGAGCTCCGCCGACTGGGCGTGCATGGCCTGAAGCTGGTGGGCTGCTGACATTTGTGGTGGAAGACCTCCTGGCAGGTCCCGTGGATATGGAGCACCTGTGAGATGAAAGAAGTTGCAGAGCTCAGACTGACAGACTGGACGTAACTTTTCTGGTTATGAGAATGGAAACGTGGTGGAGAACCTACCAAACACAGGGTGGCGCAGCATCTCGTGTTCGTGCGGTGGCTGAGCCAGGAGAGAGTTGGGGATGGCGCCGGGCGGGTAAGGGAAGCGGGCCAGGTGAGGTCCTGCTGCCAGGGGGTCTACTGCCAGCGGATGGGCCCCAGAACCTGGAGGACAAATGAGACATTCACCACCACCTTCTGGGGGTCAGAGTCTTAGGATCAAGGTACACTCAAAATACATTTATCACAGACAGCAACATGCAGCGAACAAGTGATGCACAACTTCAAATAATATATAATAAATCCCAAATATTAACAAAGTCCCTTTTATTCATGCTTTAATGTGATGAGAGAAGAAATACAATTCTAAGTATCCACAGATAAATTATAGCTGACTAGCTCATATCCTTATGTGTGATAAAATAACTAGCTTAATTTACATTACAAGTATTTCTTAAACTCTAGTTTTCATTATTAAATATACAACCTGAACCATAAAAATATGCTTTTTAGTTTCAAGTATTGAAAAAAGTTTCCAAAAATTACATATTTTTGCTGCTTATAATTATGAAAACATAACTCATTTTAACATTTCACTGAAAAATTTTCATTAGTTTCTAGTCAGAAAAAAACATGCACAACTGTTTAATCCTGCAACAACTAGTAAATAAAGATTTTTACAAATTAAAATATTCTAGTACATATTTCACAATAACAAACAAAAGCTAAGTACAAAAACATCCAACAACTGAGAGGAAATAAATAAACCAAAGTTGACAATAAACTAATAATTAGCTGTGTTCAGTAAACAATAATTACAAGGCCAGTAATCAATGGTATCAATGATACCATTCAAATAACAGACATTTAATTGATTTAATGTTTTAAAAGACATTTAGTGAAAACGTTCAGGGCTTTCTCTTACCTTGGTGAAGAGGGTCTTGCTGGTGAAGGTGGAGGTGGGAGTGGATGTGTGAGTGCTGGTGGTGGTGCGGCGTGACGTTGAACATCTGTAGACGTGCGATGGGGTCGTTGGCCACCGTGGCCATCCTTTCAGCGTGGAGTCTCTCTGCAGCCAGCCTCTCTGGGTAGCTCATATCCGGCCGCAGCTGAGGTCCTTGGAGGGCTAGCCGCTCACGCTCCAATGGGTTCAGACCCGGGTGAAAAGTGGCGAATGGGTGAGGCCCGGCCATTGGAGGTAAAGCGAGGGCTCCGTGCCGGGCGAAGTGCTCCATGGGGTTTGTGGAGGGGTGGAGCGAGTCCATGTCTGGGGGTTTGACTTCAAATCCAGGTTTCATTCTTTCCCTCAGCTCCCTCTCACGGATCTCCCTTTCACGCATTTCCCGCTCTCGTAGCTCGCGCTCCCGCATGGCGGGGTCGGCGTTGTACAGGCTGGGCATGTGATAGGCCAACAGTGGGTCAGCCGGGCTCAACGACACAAAGAAGGGGTGGTTTCGATTGGTGGGCGACATAACGTGGGGTCTGGCGTATTCGCTGAGTGTGCGAAGGGCGGGGGTGTCGGGTCCAATATACGGAGGCACAGCTGCAATTGTTGTGGGGGGGCCGTCGAAGGGTGGGCGCATATGAGCCGGGCCAGCCATTGGAGGTTCAGCCATTCTGCTCTCATGAGAGGAACTGGAGGGTTTCTGTGAAGACAAACGTATTGTGTCAGACACGTAGTGTGCCAAAAGAGCCAGAAATGGGTAACAACAGATAAAACACTTACCGCAGCACGTTCAAACTCCTTCTCTCGCTCCCGCTCCCTTTCCCGCTCTTTTTCCTTCTCTCTTTCTCTTTCCTTCTCCTCTCTTGCCTTCTGTTCTGCTTCCCTCTTGGCTTTCTCCAAAGCTTCCTCTCGCTTTTTGGCCAGTTTGGATGAAGCCAGTGGAGTGAAGTAGAAATCTGTCCGAGCGCACGAGTTGTAACCCCGGTCCAGGTGCTTGTAGAACCTGTTGCGAGCACATTAGAAATGCACGTTACTAAAACAAGTGCACAATGTTCCAGCTCATAAATAAATGCAAACCGACAAAAAAGCTTCAGCCTTATTTGTGCACTGAAAGGCCACATTTAAATCGAAACCCATCTTGAATTAGCTTACACCAGTCTATTATTGAAAAAGGATAAAAACTCTCTCAGCCATTTTTGCTGCTACGCTATGAATTAAAACTCATTGCAATTCATCTGCAGCCTGACAGTCACTTAAGCACAAGTCAACTACAGATAGGCATATTCAAAACCTCCGCTCACTCACATCTCACTAATTAATCTCCCCACGCACCATCCCTCATAATTTTAAGCCATCAGCCTCCTAAAGGCTAATTGTGGCCTTGAAAGCCTGTTTTGCTGCTGACATCAGAGCCTGAACACATGAAGGCAGATCTTTTTTTTTTTTTATAAGCACAATTTTTTCTGCTGTCGTGTTTTCAGACGTACCGTGCTGCCTGGCTGGCGTGGCTGGGCGTATCGACAATGCTAGGCTCCGGGGAGGGGCTTCTCTGTGGGGGCGGCGGACTTTCAGGCTCTTCCAACTCATCCACAGGCTCCTCTTTGATGTGCACAGGTGGAACTGCTGCGCCTGGAGTGGCACAAGTGACTGAGGCAGGTAGTGGCATGGAGATGGAAGAGGGTGGTGCAGAAGACGACGGGGGTTGTAAGCTGGGCATAGAGTTTGATGAGGATGGGAGAGGACCACTTGGAGGTAGAACTGTACTGTAAGGGTGTGAGAACGATGGCTGTGGTGGCCCGCTGGGGTGTGAAGCTGTGGAGGATGGAAGAGGAGGAGCTGCAGAAGGCTGGTGGCTGGCTGAAGGTGGAAGGCTTTGCGACTGGGTGAGAACTGGAGGCTGGGCTGGTGGAGGTTGGAGCTGCTGCCCCTGAGGCATGAGCTGGAGGGGAGGCGGGTGAGCTGATGGTGGATGATGGTTGGATAAGGAGCTGAGGGGCTTTAGAGCTGGAGGAGGGGGCAGGTTTGAAGGCATCTGAGGGAATGGAGGTGCTGAAACATGAGGTGGGTGTTTGTGAGACTGTGGGATGGGCATCTGAGGGATAGGTGTAGTTGGTGGAGGCTTGATGTGAGGCATGGACATCGGTGCAGGGGGCAAAGGTTGCTCTCTGGGAGTCTGACCTCCACATTGAGAAGATGGCTGAGACTGAGAAGGAGGCGTGTGGGCCCTCTGCTGTGACTGAACAGAGCTGGGTGGAGGCAGGACCTGAGGGGGACCCACAGGGAATCCCTGAGGGGCGATGGCGTGAGGGTGCTGCATGTGTGAGGGTCCAGGCTGTAGTGGATGCGGCATGGGGAGAATGGGCCCATGATGTGGGCTGGGTAAGGACTGAGGTGGAACTGAGGGGCCAGGAGGCGGGGCCTGAGTCATGGGGGAGTGAGGAGACGGTAGCCTCTGAGGGTGAAGCGATGCTCCAGACTGGATAAGAGACTTCGGACTAGCCTGGGCCAGAGGCTGAGGAGGTAGAGAGGTGGAGGCAGCTACAGGGGAGACTTGTGGGGGCAGTGAGGAGGTTGAGGTTATAGGTGGAGCAGGTGCTGAGGAGGCAGCTGATGGGCCTGGTTGACACTGGATTACTGGCGGGTGCTGGCTCTGCAGGAGCTGTTGCTGCTGGGCAGAGGAGTCTGAGTCGCTCTCGTTGTCACGGGGGCTGGGGATGCTTGGAGAGGAGCTCCGGTTGTCCTGGTCAATGTCTTTTGGATCGCTACTGAGCTCCTCATTGATGCTTCGCCCGTCAGAGCTCTCACCCTCACCTTCACCCTCTCCCTCACCTTCTGAAGGTGAGGCCGATCGGCTCAGCTCCTGTGGAAAACAGGTTGAGGCTCATCACACCCAGTTTATAAATTCCAAATAAACAATTTAACAAAACAAAGACCACAAACCCACCTGTGTCTTTGACTTTTTGGCGCTGGCCCTCTCAGACTCCTCTGTGTCTGAAGCTCCTTTCTCTCTCTGCCGTTTGGCACTCTTCATTGGAGAAGGAGCTTCCTCTTTAATCTTCTGTAACATTACAGCAGCAGAGCCATAAGAGTAGCCCTCCTTCAGATATGTGCAGAGAAACAAGCTTTTCATGAATCCACATTTTGTTTACCTTGCTTAGCTTCTTCATGGAGTCCGTCTTGCTGTCGGTGCTGTCTGTACTGGCTGCGCTGGGTGACGTCCGGCCGCTAGAACGCAAGTCCTCGTTAGTTGGTGAGGCTCGGCCATCAGGACTGACTGTCTGTTTCTTACGACCACTACGTAGCGTTGACATCTATAATCAAAGCCAAGTAGAAAAATCATTAGACTTCCACAATGATTTCCAAGCTGTTTTATTTTATGAAACCCAAAAGAAACAAATATGATAAAAATTGTCCCTGTATTATTTGTTTTGTGATGTTTTTTTGTTTGTTTTGCAGTTTCATTGCTCGAGGGATAACCGAGGATCTGTTTTGTAAAGGTGAAAATAGATAGATGGGGAGGGAGCGCTGGCGTACCGAGCCTCGGTTCCGTCGGGTCCTCATGCTATGCTTCCCACTGAGTCCATCCTCTTCCTCTTTGACAGGTTTGAACATAAATGGTGGCGGGTCGACAGGCTTCTCGATGGGGGGCAGTTCGCCGTACTTCTTGAAGTGAATGCGGCAGTCGGTGCACAGTAAGATGTTCTCCCGCCCCCCGTGGTGCCAGTCCTTGGAGGCTGAGGAAAGTCATTTACAGTTGTGAAATAAGACACTCGTACAGGTGGTGAAAGGTATAAACAACACACTGAAATGAGCTGACAGATCAAAATACATATGATATATGGAAGAGAAATAAAGGATAATGTCATGTTTTGCTTTATTCTGTGCCTGAATAGGGAGTGATTTAATAATAAGATCTGTAAAGCCAAAAAGTTATTTGCTACTCTTTTTATGGCAACCCAAGTATGATCAGCTGGGAGCCAGCTGTTTGGAAAAGGGGGAAGGATAATGAGGTGGAGAGAACCAACGAGCAGAGGGCTCATATTTGATTTGATCAAATTAGTCTGATGCCCATCTGTCACACAGCTCAGTGTTGGGCATCACACAGGTCCCATGACAGAACAAGAATATATTAGTGAATCCATCGTGTGAGCAGAAAGTGTTTTGTGCCGATTCTTACTGGTAGTGAAACAGTGGCGGCAGGCGTAGCCCTTTAGCTCCTGCTCGCTGTCTTCACTGTCGAAGTCATCTTCGCTGGCTGAGCTGAGGTCCACTGGAAGAACCACAAAGAACAAACACTTCACATACATCACTTTGGCACCAGAAACTGCAGGTTGCGTCTCTCCCTTTTGATCTCAGCTGCTAAAGAAGGCCTCAGATATACGTACAGAACTCGCTCGAGGGCGGCCGTGAGGGGGTGTTAACAGGAGTTGAAGCAGTTCGTGTCTTGATGCGTCGGAAAACAGGTTGGCGGCGATGTCTGCGATGGGCTCGGCAGCTGGCTGCCTCAGGCGTCTTCTTCCAATAGTAGTAGAAGGTAATTAGCTCTCCCTGAAAGAGAAACAAGAAATCTTGAAACAACTGAACATAACACAGGAGCCCGTGATGAAACAATGGCACTTTTGATTGGGGGGAATAAAATATATAATCAACTTGTTGAAAGATTTGAGGGAAAAAAAAAACAACTCTTGATTATCTGCTTTAAAGTGGAATTACATATGAGAGTGAAAGGCCCTGAAGAGGGTCAGTCCATGCCGGGATTTGTAGCTGCCTGGACATGTTTGCTCTGCGTCCCCGTCTGTCCCCGGATTAGACAAGCAGGCTGAGTGAATGCAGGGATATTAGGATCAGTGCATTGGTGGCTGCCTGGGTGGCAGGAGGTTGAATGGGAACAAAAGGACATGTCAGGCAGAGCTTTGGCGCTACAAATAGGGAGTGAAACGGCTCCTCGCCCCTTTGCTGGAAGAGTCAATTGAACTTTAATCAAACATTTGGAGGGGTGCACTTGCCAGCGAGCCAGGCGGATAAATCCAGTGTACAAAAGGCCGCCAGGAAATCAATACCCAACTGAAACATTAACACATGCAATCATGGATCAGAAAGCACTTTGCTGAGGCAGCCTGTGCATATTAACTGCTGCTTTCCGGCTACGCTCATCACACACAAAGCTTTGAAAATTGCTGACAGGAGTCAAATGGTGATGTAGCTTTACGTCAAAGCTTTGCTCTCACAAGTTAGTAGTCCTCCACTAGCTTTATAACAAATTCATAAAGTCATGTTGTGCGATTGTTTTGTAAGTCACCTGTAATCTTTACAGCCCAGAGGGCAGCCATCAACAGTCTGAGCTCTGTTATACTGCTGTTCTCCCAGGGTTTAATGGCTATTGACTGTTTTCCTTCTCCGCTTCAGCTGCGAACCTTGACATAAATTAGTCAGTCCATTGCTCTCTAAAATACATTAACAGCTTTTCAGCAACAGTACAGCAATGCCTATAAAAATTAAACTAAACTAACAGTAAAGGGTTTAATGAACCGAACGTTCATCAATCGCTGTAAAATCCTTAACTGTGACAAAGCGGACAGTTTTAACGTGCAACAGGCCGGCATAAATAAAAACAAACAAGTTTCCCTGGCTTGACTTCTTATCATTTAATACAAGCCTGCTTGAAGTGGAATCTTTTGATTATGCATTTATTAAAAAAGTTCTTCCTTCATCACTTCAGCAAACTGATTATCAAAAAGGAGCAAGTTTAGCTTTTCTGCTTTGATTGGCAGAAAATGTTCAACTCAGTGGGCTTAAGCCACTTTAATAATAAACTCTCTCTTCATGTGGTTCTTAGGGAAAAAAATCATATCTACAAGTCACTGCAAGACTCCATCTTATCGGGCAAAGCAGTGCTGGGAACGTTTACTGTTGGCGCCCGAGCTCAGAGGAACACTTTCAAATTTTAGGGTAAATTAAGGTCCTGTACTGACAAATCCAGCAAATCCTACCGCTTTGTATTTTTCAGTCTTTATGGATTTAAAAGAAATAAACTTTCAACTCGTAGTGGTTGTGTTTTGTTATCACTTATAGTAAAAACAAGCAGTTAATGATAGTTATGCTGGCTAAATGCTTTGCTTTGAATCTTTGTCAGTCGGTTAGAGAACGTGCTGGTCGTTTCCTGTGCACCTCCCTCTTCGACCTGCTCGGCCAGTTGGAAAGGCGGGCCGCAGGTGCTGAGAGAAGGCAGGCGCCCCGATGTGAAATCTAATTGAAATGTGCAGATCAAAAGTGTTGAGCAGTGCCGAGCGCTGGCTTTGCTCTGTGCTTAATGAGTGTTCTCAGCAGTGCCTCGCTGCGAGCTGACGACACGGCCTCAGCAACAGCTCGGCAGACACAAGGAAAGGTCACCCTGCCTCTCCATCACTTACACTGTGTCAAGTACCATTATATAAGGGTGCGCCTTATGAAAATATTAACTTTTGAATGAAAATTAACAGGTGCACCGACGAGCTGCTGCAGCTGGATGTAAATGTAAAAAAAGGACAACATGCAACTCAGCAAAGACTTTAAAAATTTATGTCGGTAAAAATGATTTTGATCCAGAAAAGTAAGCAACTTGTTCTGCTGTTTATAAACACTTATTTTGAATGCAGTCGTGCTGACTGAGGAAACATTACAGGCAACACTTTGAACATGAGTTATATAATGTCTGAGATAAAAGCAGTCAAAGATGAAGCAGCCTATGTGGCTGAGCGAGGCTTTGCGCTGCAAACTAGAGTCAGAGACAGATTACTCTCAGTTTGCCTGCCTCAAAATGTAGGTCCTCTGAAGCCACATCAGTCCCATCTCAAACACCGACCGTTTACTTTTGTCTATCGAATACACTTTATGATGCTGCCAGTCGCTCACAGCAACACTAACTTTCATTACCTTCTGTTTCTACTCAATGGTATGTTTAAGCTGCCAGTCTGTGTGTAACCACTACGGCTTAAATGTAAACCTTGTTTTTAAGGAGGCACTAAACCCTGACAATTGAGTGAATTTGCATTTAAAATACATTCAGCTGAAACCAGTAAAAAAAAAAAAGAAAAGTTTAAACACTTAAAATAGAACTCTTAACAGGTTCTGGCTATTGCCTAATAAATTTCTTAAGAGTCTGCTGGATCTGTCCATAGCTGCACAGACTCTGGAGAACATGAGATAGTGACAACATAAGCTGAGTGTTATGAGGCATTTTAGAAGCTTCCACCTGCAGGAGCTCTCTGGTTGCTGGATTATCAGACGAGCAAAGAGCTTACTGTCCTATCACTACCTTCAGGGCTTCCATTCTAGTCATTCCCACTTAAAATGAGCAAGTTTGTGTGAAAAACAGACGTTTCAAACCATATGCAACATTTTATTGATGTTCTACCACGGCATTCTGTAAAGCTGTAGGGAATAAAACTTGGTTCTTCCTGTTTCCTAACTTTGGTTTTTAATTATGAATGTGTAATATAATAATAGTGAGATTTTATCCATGTATTTTGTGCTTCAAAATAGTGAGCATATTTTCCTTGTGTATGCAAAACTAAAACTATTTATAGAAAATAAAAATGACTTGTAAGTATATAACAGTTTATTCTAACCACTTAATGTTAATTGTTCCCCACTGACCCTGTAAGCATTTTGTTCCATAATGACAAAATATTTAGTACAACTTATGAAAACTACCCTTAGACTGTTTTCCAGTAACTTTGAATCATATTGGTGATTTGAAATTCCTTTTATTTAAATGTGCAAATTAAAAAAAAAAAAAAGCTGCGTGCAAATGATCATTGACATACGTTTAGCTGCAGTGGTTCAGAATAGGATTTTTAATCATGCGTCTGTATTGATATGCTAATTAGCCATGTGCTACACTGAGCGCTGCTGTCAGAACTGATACAGCAGAAAAACCGAGATGTTTTTAATGAATCCAAAATTTAAAAAAATACTTTGACTGGGGCCCTGATTCAATACCAGAATGTTAACGCCTAACCCCAGTAAATATGTCAACATGCCCCTATAAAAAAACCTAGAGCGTTAAATTCAAACGTGCACCCAGAACACAATTTAGAAACCCAAGTCTGAGAATAAATCATTCTCAGAAGATTCTGACTGAGATGAACCACTACACCAATCGAGACTACTCGCTAATTGCTGGTGGGAGAGTTTGTTGACAGAGATTTGAAGTGCATGGTCCTTTGGTGGGCTCGGCGGCCCAGCGTGCACTGGCAGAGTTGAGGGCGAGGCCTAAACTCGTGTATTTACACCCTCATGTGCTCTCAGGTCCAGGCCTGAACAGATGGTTTCTGTTTTTCCTGGCAGATTTGTGACAGAGCCACAAAAGGCCCCTGCTTTGACATGAAGCCAAACGGCTAAGTCCGTTACTGGCAAGAGCAGGGGGAAGGAGGAGAGTACAGGGGCGAGCCGACGAGGGGGAGGGCCGAGTATGGAGGGGAGCCGAGGGGGAGGAAAGAGCCAGCGGTTGGTAACAATGGACAATCAAGGCTGAAACCAACCACAAGAAATACTGAAGCAAATTCAACACGTATGAATTTCTGATAAATATTTCAGGCAGTTGGAGAACAGAGACCTCGGAGGTGGGGTGGGGGGCTATGTCGTTCCTGTGGCTGATGGAGAGTTGTGTAAACATCCATTAGAGCAGCATGAACTTGAGCTCCTCCTGTTTCCTCCGAAGTCTGCAGACGGAGGAGGCAGATTGCTTCCCGATTCATTTCAGTAAGGTTAAGGGGGAAGTATTTCCAAACTAAATCAAACCGTGCTTTCATTATACATGCGTTTGACCCCTGGACTTTTAATTCCTCTTCGCCTGTGGCCCATGGCAGGTTGTACAGTGCCGGATGGAGCCTGGCTGTCTTTTCCATCCTCTCATGCTGATGCTGAACTGTTACTGCAGGAGGGAACTTCTGAACACTTTTGTGGTGATGCCCATAGGGTAATTTTTATGTAGTTTTATTACAAATATAAGCACTACTCTCATGTATTTAACCACTTTAAAGTATTTTTGAACCTTTACAAAATAGATTTTAAAAAGGTACATATTGTAAACTGTTTTAGTGCATTTAGTTGACAGGTTGTTTTAAGCCGACTAATATTCTAAAATTCGAAAATTGTTACTGAAAGCACAAAAAAAAAGTTTCACTTCTCTGTGAGCCGTGCTTCTGTTTTTATCTAACTGGTTTATGGGATTAAAACTAAAGATAAAACACCACAATGATCAGTCAAGTCATCTGGAATTTTATGCTGAGACATTTCGTCCTTCATCCAAAGGACTTCCTCAATCCGAGAAGTCACCAAACAAAACTGATTCCCACCAACAGCATACTCCATAGCGGGAAAAAAAAGCTGTTTGCTGGTGCTAAGATGGCCTCGGGCTCGAAACTGTCCAGAAGACCTGACAACATTGTTGGATTTTATACCCGGATTATTGAGCATGAAGTTTGGTGTAAAGACAAAACACTTGTAGCTTCAACAGGATGCATGTACTAAATAATAAACAGGGTTGAACCAGAGGTGGCCAGAAT